CTGAGGTCGTTTCAGAAGACCACTCAAGGGTAATTTTTTACGTCACTTTCCTCTTTGTCATCGCTACGATCTAGGCAATTCTTGCCAGAAACCAATAGCTAGGATATAGATGCTTTTACCCAGCGCAAAACTACTGAATTGCATGAATTTCGAAATAGCTCTTCTTGATTTCTGTGACTTCAATTTACGTAAATTGTTACTGTAAACATTATTAATATTAGCCCAACTGGGAGAGATAAGGAAGTGCGTTTATTTGTTATTAGTGAATAACCAATTTCCTGTTGGCAGTATTTTCACTGTTCACAGAAGTTCAACCATTGTTCGTTATGGTTAAACGAAGTATCTTTCAGCAGCTGTTTACTCGAATATAGCAGCATGTTTAAATAAAATTGTTGATGGAACCATCACGGTGGTAGCACAAACGTTTGTCATTTGATGAAATTCATATTTGCAATACTTCAATTAATTTATTTAAAGGACACTACTGTCACGTCCTCTTTTATGGCTCAACGGTAGAGGCTTGGCTTCGCGTGTGGAAGAACGGAATTCGAATCTTACAGGGAGGGACTTCAAGTCGCTTTCTCGCGAGGGATGCGCATGGTACTCTGATAATTTGTTCCTGATACATGTCTGACATTGTTACTTGCACTGCCATGGTGGATTTGCATACGTAGCCCGCAGAATGGTGATTGCATGAAGCAATATCAGTTTATGCAAAGGCCTCGGATTTTAGACTAAAGGAAAAATTTGTATCGACTTCATTTTAAAGGTTGCCATCGGTGGCTCATCGATGTGCCACATGTGCCAATGCGTTGTTATTGGTGGAAGAAGAGCTTCACGGGTAGGGTGGCCATCGGCATGTTATAGGTGTGGGATAGGTTGCGCGCGCCACACTTAATTCACTATAAATCATAGTTGCTTCACCTATGGCACATAGGTGGAGCATAAAATATATAAACATATAAAACAGATGTGCTCCACTCTTTTAATTTTTATTTGGGTAAAAGGCGTGTCCCATGCTGTGTTTGACAAGACTGTATAACTAAGCCAATAGCCTAGTAGTTAGGTACTCGCTTATTCACAATCTCAGTGATTGTTTTTAGCTCACCAGCTGACTGCGGAAACGACTGACTTCAGCTGACAATTTATCAGCGTTTCTGAAACCTGACCTTTCTCTACACTAGTTGGCATTAGCTGACTGAAACAAGGCCAGTCGGCATCAGCTGGCTAAGGCAAAGTTAGTTGGCATTAACTGACCAAAGTAAAGCTAGTTGGCATTAGCTGACGAAAGCAAATACAGTTGGTATCAGCTAGCCAAAGGAAAGCCAGTTGGCATCAGCTATCCTAAGTAAAGCCAGTTGGCATCAGCTGGCCAAAGGAAAGCCAGTTGGCATCAGCTATCCTAAGTAAAGCCAGTTGATATTAGCTGGTCAAAGAAAAGCCAGTCGACATCAGCTGGCCTAAACAAAGCCAGTTGGCATCAGCTGGCCTAAACAAAGCCAGTTGGCATCAGCTGGCCTAAGGAAAATCCGTTGGCATCATCTGGCCTAAGCAAAGCCAGTTGGCATCAGCTATCCTAAGCTAAGCCATGCAGTTGGCATCTGCTGACTTAAGCAGGGCCAGTTGGCATCAGCTTGCCAAAGCAAAGCCAGTTGACGTCAGCTGACCAAAGGAAAGCCAGTTGCCATCAGCTGGCCTAAGGAAAGCCAGTTGACATCAGCTGACCAAAGTAAAGCCAGTTGTCATCAGCTGGCCTAAGGAAAATCAGTTGGCATCAGCTGACCAAAACAAAGCCAGTTTGACATCAGCTGGCCTAAGTAAAGCCAGTTGGCATAAGCTGACCAAAGAAAAGCCAGCTGGCATCAGCTGACTAAAGCAAAGCCAGTAGACATCAGCTAGCCTAAGCAAAGCTTGTCGTGCGGCCTCATGCAGCGTTTCCATCCCAAGCTCTGCTCGGACGCTTCCAATATCGCGTTGGGCTTCGTGTCACAGATGTTATCCAGAGGCGGTCAGAGAGCCAAGAATGAGTCGCCCCTTGGCAGTTGTAGAGCAGTTTTATGGTCGCCATATTGTGCTGATATGCGCTGTTTATTGCCGCACAGACTCTGCTGCAGCTGTCGAGCCCGAAACCAACGCTCTTAATTGATGCTCATCCGCACTTGTGGCTCCGCAAGTAGGCACGGAACTCCAGCCGCTGCATTACGCTTGACGATTGTGTTAAATTTTTATTGGAATCCGGGTTTGGTGTGTGGGTTTGGGATGAGGATGGGGATCTCGTGTTATGACGTGTAAGGAAATTCAGAATGCATAGGTTCTCTTATATGATCTTATTGTGTCAAATATTTAGGTGCTGATCTGACCTCCCCAATTGTTTCATAATTAAAGGGTTCATTGTTATTGAGTGTCGGTTAGCATCCGGAAAAATAAAGCAAACCCTGTTAATATCACATTAGGAAGATAAGGCGAACTTAATATCCCGAGCTCATCTCAAGATCATTTTGCACTTATACGCTCGTTTGCTCTACAAAATATAACATAACATTTTCAGGTCGGAAGTTCACCGCCATCCGGCTTCGCTTCTGTTTATTTATTATATTTGCGTCAATTTTATCTTTTATTTTGTCAGTTTGCATTCTCTTACATACGTACTTTTCTGTACATTTCACTCCACGCGTTAGTTTCTTGCATTAACTTGGGAAGCGAGTTATCTTTCATCGCCTTAATATAGGTTCAACTTCACTTTCATTTTCCCGGACGATTCATTGTGGCTTATTTTACTCCGAAAACATCTCTGTTAGCTTGCATTTTACAGGAAATATTTTTTTAATGTATGTACAGCGTTGGTCTCTCGAGACAAAGCAATGCGTTTGATAGAAGATAAGCGGAAGTTTATCGCTGCAGCAGACCGAGTCTCTGGTCGCAGAGCTGAGCTATTGTATTGGTGCGTCCTCGTGTTTACGGGGCGCATTGTATGCTTGGACTGCGCTTATTTTGCTTTTGAAACCGACAACTAAATGTACGTAATTTAGGCCCAATCGTATCGTTTGACCTACATTCTTCTCTTAGGTTACTTAAGATAAACCTTTCTGTCTATTGAAGATTTATTGCATGGTACTTGAGAAATGAATTTTTAGGAGCTATTATTTGAAACACCTATTCTACATTTTAATGACAAACTGTTCATGGTAAGAACAATGTACAGAACATAAAGAGACACCTACAGCACTGAGAAATCTTTACATTTTATTACTATAGCTAAAAATATGCCAAGTGTTAGTTTTCATGTTTAGTCAAAAGCTACACGCATGAGCTACATACAAAAATGCTAGGTGTTGGTTTCCCTCTTTATTCATAGGCTACACGCTACGAAGAGAATATGAGCTACGTACAAATATTCTCTTGCGAAATGTGCGGCTGTTGGGGTCAAAATATTTTAATGTTGTTTCCATGAGTGTTGTATGCTTGTTGCCTGCGTCGCCGCTTGAGCACGAACACAACTTGTTAATTTGGGCAAGTTGGGATTGTATTTTGGCCATTAGGGTTTCATAAAAAACGTGGCGGCAAAATAAAATAATTAATTTTCAAAGAAATAATATTTGATTTCAGGGTTGAAATTCGACTTTATAGTTTCGATATATTGCTTATATTTATGCCTGCCGAGACTCGAGATGCATTAACAATGATAACAATTTGTCGGTTAATAATCTAATAGATAAATACGAATGGAAATACCCTCGAAAAATGCCAATAAATAACATCATTAATGATCAGGTTGGATTGTGATTTGTGGTTATATGTTCCAATTTTTGTAAAATTCATTATTTTCAGATCCTACCTTGTGTTATCTTTGAATGACATTCGTGAGTTAGTTATTTTATTCATACGGCCTGAGCCATAAAATTTTGGTTCATATTCGCATTTTTTTAGAATAACAACAACAAATTAGAAACGAATGGTTTACAGTTTGGCCTTTTTTGAAATATATAGATTAGGGAGTTTTTATAAGGAATTACTGTACAACTTTTTTATATAACTTCAATTATTCGTGGGAAGAGGAACACAATAACCGCGCATAATATTTATATGGTGAGCACTTAGAAAATTTTAATTTCAGATATTTGCATTTACTCAAAAATTTGAGGAAATGCATTTATATATGTCCATTCCGCAGAGCTGATATGGAACTCTAACTTGCATTACAATCCTGCCTAAAATATATTATAATAACGCAGCGAATGTACTTTTCTCATACGATGGAATTTTAACTTGCACAGGAAGAGTTGCAACAGAATCCCTGTGAGTAATTTCTATACTCAGGTTATTTACTCATTTGTTGGCGCTACGTGGCTATATCGACTGTGAGATCTTATAAGTTATAGTGGTTAATGTCACAACGTAGCTACATCGATAATATAAGATCTAGTATTAGGGTCACAACGTGGCCTTATATATTTACATTAAAAATCATGGTGTTTGGCGGCGCAATGTAGCTATATTGATAATAAATTTCCAACATGAAGTCGTACAACGTAATCGAACTCAACAACGCACATGAAGTAAAAACATTCATGAATTCAACAGTGTGCAAGAAGTTAACAACATGAGTGAATTCGACAAAATTCAATAAATTTGCAACATTCAATCAGATAAATTAAATGAATTATTAATTGGCTGCACTCCTGCACTAGCATGTCGTTACTTGAATTAATGGCTGTAACTTTAAACATATTTTATTCCATATTATTGTGATGAGTTGTACGACTTCTTATCTGTAGGTTGATTTTAATGTTTTGCTCACAATTTTGTTCTGTTATAGTAATTTTTTTCCATGTGACTTCAGGCGAAGGTCGTCATTAGTGGCTTGTGGCCTCAGCCGTTTTGTATGAGTACTGTTAATATTCGCAATAATAAAAGTGCGTTCTTTGTTCCATGTCAATTTATAATTATTTCAATAAATAATCAATATCAAGATGATAATTAATGTAATGCATGTACATCAGTTCCCCCAGAGATCCTAGACAGCAGCAGCAGCACGAGCAGCGTCGTGGTGCAGGAGAACGGCAACGCCACCCTCAGCTGCCACGCCACGGGCAACCCGCCTCCACACATCAGCTGGGTCAGAGAGGACCAGAAGCACATCACCATCGACAAGAGGAAGAAAGGTAAGGCCCTTTGATGAGGGTCAGGGTGGGTCAGGGCCATTGATGAGGGTCAGGGTGGGTCAGGCCATTGATGAGGGTCAGAGTGGGTCAGGCCATTGATGTTGGTCAGGGTGGGTCAGGCCATTGATGTTGGTATGCAGGGTGGGTCAGGCCCATTACAGTGAATAATTTGGAGTAAATACAGTCTTATTGCTGTGTTTAAGAAAGAAGTTTGCCCATTACATCATAATCAGTGAGGATATGGCAATTTTAATATTCATGAGTTTAAAGGTTGTTATAGGGTAGGGTTATAGGGTAATTATAAACTGCATTATATGTAAGAGGTTATGACTATGTTTGATTGAAGTAATTTTAATTGAAACCTTATCAGGTACCAAGGCTTTTTAAATTGTGACTTAAAGTGGACCCAAATTTTATCATTAAAAACACATTATTACAGCAAGCTATTCTAACTTGTGTAAATCGGAAGAATCTTTTTATTAAAGTCCTCTATTTTATCTGTACAGAATATCGCTGAAATAGAATTTTTTCTTTGCCCACGATGACACATGCAAGCTTTGATTAGAAATTCTGACAGGAGCCTCCATCCCTATTTTTTAAAGGATTAATATAGAATTGATGAAGTCGTCATACTATAGTTCTCTATAATTTAAGAGAGACTATGTTATTCTATAGAATTATTTGTTATTGGATTGAAGCTGAAAAGCAACACGGTATTTCACATATAAAAATGGAGACTTTTTAGGTTTAATTTCTGCACGTATAACTTGGTTCCGAAAGTAGTTTCGCTCCGATTAACATACTTTTCTTCAATATATTGTCGGAAATGTTTGTTTACTTTTTATTTGCATTAAATGTTCATATTATAAACCTTGCACACGCTCTCCTAATGACACCTATATATATGGGCTTTCGCCTCGATCTCATCGGAGAGGCTCCGTACCTTTTTTTCCTCCAGGATACATATATTAGTGTTAGTTTCCGAATGAAATCGATTTATTTTACTCATTCTTATCTTATTTAAAGGAAGAAATAAAAGACATGAACGTGCACTTCAGCTATAGAATTAAATTCACAAGTCACTCGGATATTTTAACTCGTACAAACACTTATGCGTAAAAATTGTTATGAATTGCATATTTTCACTTCTGTCGGATACTTGTCCAGTTGGATACTTGTCTAGTCTCGACGAAATTTTTCGATTACTTTTCCCAACCATTAATTTCTGGTCAATATATTTCTGTGGTATGTGAAACATTCAGCACGAACATACGTGTAGGCCGCACTCCGCATAGAACTTCTCGCTGCGCGGTCACGCGTCGTGATCATTATTGCTCTGACTTGTTGGACGGCAGCCAGAAGCGCGGCGCGGTTTCCTGCGCAGATTTGGGCACGAGTGTCGTGAAATTTTGACGAGGTTTGTTATAATAAATCTTCCGGGCTTTTGTATCTGGTGCCCGTCATTCAGTTCTGGAGAAGGTCGTGTTTCCTGTATGGTTTTCGTACACAGATGGCGCGTTATGCTACCAAATGTTGGACATTATTGTATAAGGGGCGAAATTTCTGTAATAGACTTTGTCTTCCGTCTCGTCACTTACCTTAGTGCTGGGTATTGTGAATAAAGTTGTTTATCCAGAACATCCAGAATGAGCAGGTGAGAAGCTTGGAATAATGAAATTTTTAAACTTCTGTGCTTCTTGATATCACTAATAACTAAAAACAGCTTAGCGGTGCATATTTTCACAGATATTAATTTAGGCTTTAAATCTTTGACAGGTCAGCTCCGTATGACTGAATCTCGTCCAACAAACTAAATTTTATTGTCAGTTTCAGTCTCCTTCCTTTCAGTTCAGTCTCCTTCCTTTCAGTTCAGTCTCCTGCATTACCATGTTTTTGTATATAACGTTGCTTCTAATTGATTGAATAATACTCCGCCTTGTTTTGCGTACCTCCCCAAATTATCAATTTCTATTTTTATTTTTTTCATGTGGATGAAGTTGATGATATATTACAATGTCATGAAGTGTCTCCTGAAAATATGGCCTTATAAATTGAAACAATCAATCGGGTGCGAAACAATAGCTTCGAAATTGATCAGTCGAAAAAATTTACCCGTTTAGTAGGAACAATGCTGGTTTTTATATCAAATTAAAATTAAGTTGTGCTTCAAATATTTTCAGTAAATAAGCTTTCATCACACACTGAAAATTATTAGACAAATATACTATTTATCTTTATTATTAAAATACGTGCTCTCTTTGTTAATAGTTAATATACTTAGGAATTTTTGAAAGAAGTTTGACTATTACTTCAGGACATGAACTACCGTCCATATTTTTTAATTCCATTCAAAGTGATAGTTTCATCAATATTGTTGTGAAAATTAAATGCTTTCGTGTCCTCTAACTACAATTTTTGAGGCCTAAAATTTTTACTCCCTGAAACCCGAAAGAATATTCCACGATAGGTCAGGCTTTAAATTCTGTTAACATGGATAGTATCAGCGGGTTTAATCTTTCATGGGTTTCCGTAGTGTAGTGGTTATCACGTGCGCCTCACACGCGCAAGGTCCCCGGTTCGATCCCGGGCGGAAACAATATATTTTATCCGTGGCAATTCATACAAAAAACATTAGCTGCATTATGCCCAAGTGGCAGAAAATGCGTTAGATCAATAATTATATTAAATAAACATCTGCCACTATAAGGTGTCCTGCTCTGGCTTATATATTTCAAGTTTCAACATTGGCATTTCAAATTGTTTGCTAATAAATTACTCTAGTCTGATCCAGGACTGTACCATTATAAACATTTCCATTCTATGGGAGCGCAGCCGTGGGTAACAAAATTGACTAGTAAACCGGCCCTGGGCCCAACGCCGACCATCAGCATGCAATATCTACACATAGCCTCAGATCAATGAGCTGTGGGTAACTCCGGCTAACAGTAAATCCGCTTTGCACAACACAACCACTGCTCCACAGCGCCGGAGCACAACTGGCCGGAGCGCAACAGGCCCTACCGCAACAGGCGGCGCATGTTAAGTTAGGTTAGGTTACGTTAGGAGTAGCTGTTGCGGTAGGGCCTGCTGCGCTCCGGCCAGTTGTGCTCCGGCCTGTCTGCGCTCCGGCCTGTATGCGCTCCGGCCTGTGGCTGAAATGCGCTGTTGTGGTTGGTACTTTGTGTTAAAAGCCGTGAAGATGCCCGGCTGCATTACGCTCGGGAAGGTATCTGAATCGCACTGTGGACTTGGGCTATGCTGACCTCTAGCTATCCACCCCCATTCTATTATCTAAAAGTATGCATCGGCCGGGAATTGAACCCGGGCCTCCCGCGTGGCAGGCGAGAATTCTACCACTGAACCACCGATGCTCCGTCGTTAAGTATGTCCTATCTTTGAGTTTATGACCATTTCTATTTCCGCAATTACTTAGTTTCAATTGAACTCTGTTAACTTTCGTTCTACACGAATCATTATGCGCATACTAAAACGATTAATAGATATGAAATCGTTTTATACATAGCATTAACAATTCCATGAGGAGTTTAGGTAGGTTCTTAAAGTGGTTCAATGTTTTTAGGTAAATTGTTATTAAAATAAAAAACTTTATGGTGAAAAATTATCTACCTGAATTCATATTGACAATATAAAAAGGTCTTAACGTGTGTATGATCCAAGGTTCTGGTCATTTGTTCTGTTGAGCCCAAAAATTATTTCACCCTAAGTTGCTGCGTGTAGGTAACTTCTACATCCGTGTCTCAACACCATGTGCACGGCAGGAGTTATCGTTCCAACTTCCAACCTGCCAGTCTCCAGACCTTCACACTCTGCTGTGTGCCTTCTTGCTAAACAGTGCGACCTGACTGTCTGAGAGTGATTTCAAGATACTCGGCTCCGCCTCTCTGGTTTCAGATTTAAGGATTTCAGAACCGGTGCATATTTTAATATGGGACCCTTGTCTTAATTAAACGTCCATTTCTTCTTGAAATTGCAATCCGACAGATTTTTATGTTTCGTTTATCGTTTTATCGTTACTTAGGTTTTGGTATCCATTCATGTCTATTTTTATTTTCACTACTAATTGTACTGATTGCAGTATTTAAAGTTATTGAACTGATTATGAATCTGTTCTCCCAAACATTTTCATTGGAATTTGTGGATTTACTTGGTGTTTTCTTTGCTTTTAAATTCTTGGTTAACACTGAGCCCTATACACCACCGTATCGCAATGACCATCGTATGACGCAAATAACCAATATTCTGTTGATATTGTTCCTATAAGTCTACCCCGTCCCTATACACCCTTTGCGTCGAATCATCCCACGATCGAACGACCACTCGTTGATGGACGATAGATTTTGGAATCAAACTTTACTAATCTGACACCTAACCTCAGTTACTGCGAAATAAAAATTACTCAATTGTGACGGAAGTCATGTTCGAGCCGCGGCTTGGTGGTGCACGGCAGGTTTCATGCAATTCCCCTGGCGAGCTAGGCCGAATGGTCGCAGTCCATTGTTCGCTTGTTACAGTTCGAGCTATAGTCATGGTGTGAAGTAATGTTTCGATGTATAGTTAGTTCATTGGTGGACGATCGTTATACTCTAGGGTCTAGGGCTAGGCTATTCGCTATCGTATATGGTGGTGTAAACATCTTTAAATCTCAAACAAGATGATGTCATGGGCTGGCTAGTGATGGCAGGCTTAATCCGCGGCTAATTGGTGGCCTTACGGAAATATGCTATGCATTTCATTCAAAGCTGATTGGCAAGCTGCGCTCCCGAGAATATGATGCATAAACGTAATGTTTAAAGTCGTTAATTCTGTTTTTATCTGTAGTTGAATTTTGCCTGTTACGCGTTAGGCTCGATGCGGTTCGAACACTGTCCGATTGCAGATTCTACTAATTTCATAGATAACAATAGAGATGTAATCTACGAGTTCTCTCAAATGAGCCCTGCAATTGACATGACGTAATTATTCTATAGAGATCATTTTTATGTAATTAACTTATTATTTTCCGTGGCAATATTTTTTCCTCCATTATGAGGCCGTTGAAAATGTATGCATCGGCCGGGAATCGAACCCGGGCCTCCCGCGTGGCAGGCGAGAATTCTACCACTGAACCACCGATGCGACTATTTTTGAGGTATCCTAATTTCCAGCTGATATGCAAAACTATTTGATGTTTGTTCCATTTATTTATATGTTAGGTCAAAATTTTAAGCTTCATTTTCAGTTCAAACATTGACTCTTTTGGCAACTTTTACGCTATATTCTAATTGTTATATTATTGCATTCCGCGTTCGTCGCCAGCTTTGGATCGTATTATTTCCATCAGTCAAGCTCAGCTTGATGCTGTCACGTGTGTGATAAGATAAATAATGGAGTGCGTGCGAGGATCGACAATACTGCCCATATTTTATTATGCGAGTATATACCAGCTTATGGGTCATAAAAAGGGTCCATCGAACGCACATTTGACCAGGTCAACCCAAATATAAACTCATTTGAATAAGGCCCTTGTCGATCAATGGGCAAGCAGATCCATCATTGCTGCTGTTGAATCTCATCGACAGCTTGTCTGTTGAAGTTTGTGAAAAAACTATTAATGTGGAAGAATATATATATTAAGACATTTTTGTACCTTTGTGGAAAAAATTTTAGGTAGAAACATTGTTCTGGAATTATGCCTTCAAGAAAATCAAATCTTTTTCCCTTTGTGTTTTGGATAATGTTTTTCACTATAATGGTTTATTCTAACAATTCAAGAAGTTTAAATTTCTTTTCAGAGGTAAAGTTGGAATCTATAGCGTGAAATTATTTTTATTAATTAAAGAAATATGCCGTATGCACTAACTTAAATTATTATTAATAATATCATTCTGTTTTTTTTTATTTTTGGAAGGGAGGGTTCAAATGATAAATGATTTGTTCCAATTATCGAACGAATTCTATAAGATTTTGACTTTAAATTAGTTTTCCTCTAATTGTTCCTCAATATTTCGCTATAGTGGTAATCATTCCCGAAATCAATAAATGCTCACGGTCGTATATATAGTGCTGGTCAGGTCTGCTTCAAAGCTCGCGTACGCTCACTAGTTTCTGAGATTTTAGTTAGAGCACGAGCCTCTGTGGGATGTTTTCAAAGTGTCCTAAAAAAATAAACGAAGAAGTTGCCAAATTGGGTCTGACTTCCGAAGTAAATTTATAGCGTATTTTTACGCAAAATCATAACTTTACTTTTGAAGAGGTGTTATCTCGTTATCTCGTAACTTTATTAGATAATTATAATCCAGCTATGACGCTCAACTTTATATTAACGAGTCAAAATGATGTAGATCACAGACGCGTGACTTGCTTATCATTTCCTATTTCAAAAGTTAATAAAATATTTGAGCACATTCTTTAAACACATTCTGTTAACAATGTAAACAACAGCAGAAATTATCATCAGGCTCTCATTACCAAACTTCTAACATTGTTCTTCGTGCGCTAATCCCTCTCATAATGGGCTAGCTTAATCCGCCATGCCTCCGCTAAAATGGCTTGGGGTTCCCTTCATTATTACCTGTATGTGTATCACAAAGATCGCCAAACCATATAAAATGTGGACGATATTTTTTGATATGAAATTACGTTTAAAAGTAGTAATCTATATTTCGATCTCAGGTGGATTGCCCGATGAACCTCAACGACCGAGGCCGTATCTATTTTAATATCAAGTTTGATATTTCTTTCACGTGATTTCACATTTAGCTCAGATTTTAATATCAGCATCCAATTCTCCATGAGCTCAAATCAAAAACTGTACCTCGCGTCTGCAGGCGAGAATCCTACATCTGAATAACAAATGCATGACATGATTTTTGTTGAGTATCTCCACCTTTCCTGGCAATTCCTAAATTATATCCACTTTATTCATCCATATAGTATGACTTGAGTATTATAACTGTTAATGATGTCTATTACCGCTAAACTATTATATTATATTATATTATATTATATTATATTATATTATATTATATTTATATTATCATACCTATATTACCACTAAACTATAATAAATCTCTTGATGCGGTTGGTATGCGCAGTGACTCGCTACGAAGGCACCTCACTGCACCTGCGCTCTGTCACGAGATCAGACATGGGCGCGTACCTCTGCATCGCCAGCAACGGTGTGCCGCCCACCGTCTCCAAGCGCACCGAGCTCTCCGTGCAATGTGGGTCACAGCGACCCACTCTCTCCTGACTCGGATCATAGTTATTGATTACTTTAATTGTAGATAACATATGAATTATAATTCAAATTGAGTATTTAGTTTCCGTGCTTATACGAATGGTAAATTATTTTTTAGTATGGTGCTCAAATTACAGAAATAGTATACTAGGACTATCAATACAGTAATAGTGCAATACTATTCCACATCAATTTTTAATAATCACTCGAGTGTCGTTTTATTCAAGAACTAACAGAAAAATTTCCAGAACTGCTCACATCTTCATCGATCATTTCGTGTGACGTCGCACGGTTTCCAAAAGCTGGTGTATTTCTTTCAGCTTTTTCAGTTGTTTATTTTGAAGCGACTATAGAATATTATTTCAAATCATTAGTTGTCGTACGTGAAAGTTAGTTTCTGATGATATTTTACCGAAAATAAGTTTCTATGAATATCGAAGTGTTTTCTTCTTTGTTTTGTAGTCGTTTCGTAATTAATAATTAATTGAAATTTATTAATTAATTATTAAATATTTTAAAATATTTTATTCAATTAAAAATTACCTATTTTTAGAAGCTGCATTAAAATAATAGAATTAAATTTATCTTGTTTTATGATATTCATTTCAATTGATTTAGCTATGGGTTGATTTAGAACTTAATAGCTTATAAATAAGCAAATTGATCTTGTTTAAAAATAATTGACCTTATTCTTCTACAAATTTCATGCTACTGGCATTATCGATGATAAAGAAATGAAGTAACTTTCTTAAATTATAAGTGAAACCGAAAGAACGAGGTTTAGAGTTTGACTAAATTAAAAATAATAACTTTCAGTAAATCAGCATCTGCAAAGTAGACTGAGTTCTAAAACTAGCGAATTGATAACATAATAATTCCTCTTTCCCCTGCTGTATGACTCCTAATAACAATTGTGTAATATCATCACTTGAATTTGTTGATGAAGCCTGAAAATCTCGCATTTGACGATGCCAGCTGAAGCTTTAACACGACCTGATGGGGCCAAAATTTACGTGCTCCCTTATTGAATTTCGTGAAGCAATTTATGCTCCCTGTCGAACCCACCCCACCAACGTCCCCTCCCTCGCCCCCCTTCTCTTCCCACTCACCGGTCATAAATCAAAAAAATTCATAAGTGCTGATTGCCAACCTTACTGGATTTTCATATCTTCCGTCGCTTTTGGCTTACAAGCGAGGAGGCTCTGTTTTTACCAGCGCAGTATCAACAAATTTGACTTATTTTTGCGGGCATTCATTGGTCTGTCCGCACAAGCCGGAAAACATCAGCATTCGACAAAGTTGCTAGAATAATAGTTTGCTTGGAATATTTGAATTGTTCTTATAATATCGCTCCTTTTTCGACCGATGATATCAAGATCGCCAATCAATTTCGTTACGTGAACATTTTTGCATGTTATCTCGCATGCTTATCGATTTATATGATAAATCGTCAAAATATTAATTTATTTTCTACTTTCAATGAAGTATCAATTTTCGTGCATTTACGTGAAAGTTCAAAAATGCGTAATTTTTCCAAACAAAGTAGTTTATCAATTCATTTCATTAACTATACTATTTAACATCACTAGGTGTCTATCCATGAGTATATTAATTGGCCATATATTTATGTAATAAATATAAATGTTTTTTGCTACAGTTTCCCCGACAGTGGTGGTCCCAAATCAGCTCATGTCGGCACCACTCGGCACCTCAGTAACTCTACGGTGCCGCACAGAAGCTTTCCCTAAAGCCGTGACGTATTGGCGGTATCAAGGCAACATGATCATGTCCAATGAGAAGTACAGCCTCACTGAAGAACAGGAACACTACAGGACCACTGTAATGCTAACTGTTAACCACGTGAGTATGTGCTCATAAAGCATATCACTGTCTCGCAGCATTCACTTTTTTTCACAAAAGTAGCCTCTGCATTCACTTTTTTTTTTCAATGTAAAACGATTTGTCTGCATAACATTGTTATGAATGTTATTGTTATCTTGTAATGCAAGGAGGAGGCACTGCAATATTTTAGTAATGCGTTACGATACCTAATGCGGTATTGTGTTCCAGAAGGCACTGATGTTGTACAAAATTCAAATTATCTGTACACCACCGAAGATTAAGGTTCATATATTATCATCATAATTAATTTCTCACTTCCAATCAGGTATAATAATATGATTTTATTATGGTATGAAATTCATTTCCTCTCTGAACATAGTACCAAAAAATTCTACTGGAAATATACTTCCATCACCTTTAACAAAGTAGAGATGCATATTTTTCTGTCTTAATTAACACCACGTAAACAAATACTAAATATTTCATCTAATTTAAAATGACTTTCAATCTGTACAATACATGATACTCGTGTGCAGTTGACCCCAGATGACTTCGGTCAATACAAGTGCAGCTCCCGCAACTCGTTCGGTGAGACAGCAGACACGGTACAGCTGCACGGTAAGCATTTTTATGATATATATTTTGCTTTCTTTTCAAGTTTCCGCGCTGTGTGGCCTTACTTATTATTGATTATATATACTGTGTGTACATGTCCGATAAGCTCAGACTCGTTCACTTATTTCTTTACGTTTAATTCCTTCCTTCTTTATGTTGTTCTCCGAAATGAATCGTTTACTGTATTAAATTACCATGTAGTGCTCCTACTATAGATTCCCGCACCTAACGTAATTTTGAGGTTAGTATTTATTTTTATTGCAGTTGCTGATTTGGGGGAAAAACGATCGAAATTTGTCTAACACCATGAAAAATTGTTTCCTCTGTATAGTGTGAATATTTTAAAATTTTCAACCATTCTGTTTTCATGGAAAAAGAACCACAAAAACGGTTATTATAAACAATTGTTCACTTATGCTTTATTTGTGATGAAAATTTGATTTTTCCGTATGATGGGGGAATATTTGTATTCTGAAACTCTTATTTACATGTCTAGCCCGATCAATATCTTGACCTATTGATAATTGTTGGGACTAAGTCACCTTTAAAGTGCACAGCCCATATTACTAACAAATGTAACTTCTCAGCAACCCTAAAAGGGTATTATTTTTTCTCCTTTGCTCATCCATGAATATTACAGTGTTTTTCTTTATGATACGCATTTAATGTAGGGAATCAAATGTTATTCTTTAGGTTGAAGTCTGGTGCTCTAGGTTTCATTTTTCTCGTGTTATTCTTTATATGCAGAAACTGGCCTGCAATCAAATGTTTATATTTGGGCTGAAATTTGGTGTTCAATTTTATGTTGTGAAGGAGCTTTTGAAAAAGTTATTTATTGTGAAGGAGCTTTTGAAAATGGTTATTTTTATCGAAAACTGCAAGCTTAAATGCCGTGTTGAAAAAGAAGGCAGAAGATAAAATATGCGCCTAGACTAAAATTCGCTTTCCACCAACCGTGTTGGAGTCCATGGAGAAAATTTGCGTGATTTTAGAGAGAATGTCAACAAGCTTCGCTATGAGGGACTTTTGATGTCGGGTCAGGAAGAGCTGCCGATTCTTCACAGTTCTTCGCATTTGCAAATATCCTGCGAAGCTTCCTCTCGGCTACTTTTTATTAACAACTTTGAAATGAACTTCATGGAGGCAATGCCTATTTAGATATTCCTTCTTCTAAAGGAGATGTGAGATATGTTGTTTCTTTGACATAACCTGCGCCTTGCCAAAAGCTTGAACTAATGTGAAGAAAACTGCTGCTTCATGCTCTAATTTGTTTTTTTAATAATGGTTTAAATTTTTTTCATTAAATGAATTATATATTAGTTTTAATGGGAGTCAATTAGTTTTGAGCGACTGAGCTGCGTTTTGAATTCTGATAACACTATATGAGAACCCATACATTTTATTTGGCGTTCTCTATTGCACATTTCAGGTGAATTTCCCGCATTTATTATTTCCATTATTTATTATTCATTCCTAACTACAAAGAAAAAGTCATTCAAGTTTCTCTAACGTAGTCCATTGGAGCTTCCGTTAAAAAATATTTAGCAGAAGATTTTGGCGCATATTCACATCGGTCTCGAATCTCCGCTTGAATGCTTTTCGCTGTCCCAAACGTTGCCGAGTTTTCAAGGCTTCCTCTCCTTCATTTCGTTCCTGTTGTTGCATCGCTCAGTTCAGTCGGTTTTATACCTACCCCCCGATGACTTGAATTTGCTTCTTCCATGTCTTAATAATAGTTTGTTCTATACAGGTACCTACGAGTTAATTCGACACCTAAATTTGTTATTTTCAAACAGTTGACTAACGATATGAAATTAAATGATAAAAGCAAAGTTATTAACAATATTTCGTTATTGTCGTTAATTCCAGAGAGTGTTTTTATTTCAGTCATCGAGGTCCTCGTTGAATCGAAGAACTGGAAGTGCACGATGTATTATTTATTGTTGGTTCTTTTTACGGAGCAACCTTAATACGCAACAATCTTTTTTCAGAGCTGAAAGTTCAAGTCACTGAACCTCAAAGAGAAGAATACATCAAAGGTACCGACTCACGAGGTTTGTTTTGAATATTTATAATACATGTTGATACAGATTATTGGCAGTGAAAATGGCTTATATTGAAACCCATTAGTAGTACAAATTTCTATTGTTGAAACCTATTAGCAGCACAGATGGCTCCGTTAAAAGCTATTAATAAGACAAGTGGTTCTTTTAAGGATGATTATTACCTCCGCATGAACTTTTTTTATCTAAAGCGATTTATCTGCATAACATTGCTATGAATGTGTGTAGCCAGTTACCTCGAGTCATCAAAGCTTTGTACTGAATATGTATTCTGAATATAGATTGTTGCTTTCTTATACTTAGGTTAGGGCATTAATTTCATAATTTTCTATGGCTTCTGTCAACATTTGCAAAATGTAAAATCTTCATAGAGTGATATTTTTTATTAGTTTAATCTGGGAATTGCTCATCATACTTTTAATCATTTCATAATCCTAATTAAGCAGAATACGGGGTGAACGACGTCGAGGTGTACAGTCCCCGCAAAGAGGAGTCATACGGGGAACCTCTGCCCCCCACGGACTACGACAGTGGCAGCGTGTCAGGGGGCTACGGTGGGGTGTTGGGCAACAGGGACTCTCATCCTCCCCGTAACCAGCAGGGCAGTCCAGGCAACTACGGCAGCCGTGGCAGCGATGGCAGTCGCTCCCCCCAGAACATATATTCACTTTTCGGGATGAGTGCAGGTAAATAGCAAACATTTTAATTTAGATATAAAAATATACTATAGTAAAAATTACAATAAAAATAATCCAAAAAATCATATTAGCATAGAAAAAATATGGTTTGAATCGGGGTTAATAAGTTCTTTGGAGATCCGGATAAGAAAAAAACGCGAAGTTGAGAATTAAAATAAACCCTTTTTTTAAATATAAAGAAACTAGAATTCCAGTAGCAACGAGATGTCGAATTACCCACAATGTACATTGCGGGTAATTTAAATGGCGCTGGTCAACTTAAGCAGGTAACCACGAAAGAAGTGACGGCTCTAGTGCATCCAGGCGAGTCTAAAACTATTAGGGTAACGTGGGGCAGCGCGCCCCCCACTTTTTTTAAACTAAATTTTTGATGAAGTTTTAATTGATACGAGGTGGTTCTTTGTTTTGTTTAAAGGTGCAACTAATGAGGAATGTATGATGTGAATTAGACGCCTATAGAGTTATTCAATTTTTAATGAAACACTATTTTGTATGAGAACACGGGCCAATATCTGCCATACTTAGCGAGAAACCCGCTATGGGCCCGTGACCCGCAGTGGGCTCGCTGCCCCATGTTACCCTATAATGAAATCAATATAAATTTGCAATTCCGCTAAATGGACAAATGTTCAATGTGAGTAATACTGTCCAAGAGTAGCGTTGCTTGTTAATTGTTTCTTTTCACAACAACCATACTTTTTTATGGGCATCATCATGGAACACAGGAGGTCAAGAGGTTAAATGATCCTTTCCCAAAAATCCGTTAGGTGACGGTGATATTTGATGTGAATTTTAATTATTGCACAATCAGGACATTTAACAAATCACATGAATCAGAAGGTACATGTTTTCAAGCTCCTGCTTTACTGCAATTTGCCAAAAAGCTAACTTTTAATCTTTAATTATTACAAAATATAATTAAGTTCTTAAATGATTGACCGGCAGTGGCATTATTTCGAGGTATAATCGTTGCGTTCCGTTATCCCTCCCGATTTTCTTGGTTGAATTTTAAAAGGCCTAAAAAATAATCTTATTTTTGTTCAGAATTAGCGGCAAGAATAATATTTGAAACCTTCATGCTTACAGTAAATTGATGCTTTGAGTTTATCAGTAATTTTGTTAAACATAAGCAGCACAATTTACAAAAAAATTATTTTATGTAAACCTAAATTATTCGAGCACCACGATCCTGCAGCCACGAGTATTCGTTCTCTGGAGTCGGCGATTTACTTGGCATCGTCAATCATTTTTACGCAGCCTGGGGCATGTGGCTTCTAGAAAACTTTATCGCAACTCCCAAGGTTTCTTCTTTCACGTGAAAAATCAGATGCCTCGTTTGGCTGGCCATTATTTTCGTACCGATCACAGCTGGAAAAAACGCATACTTCACCTGACTGTTATTGGCTTTCGGCTTGTGGTTTCTCGGCTCACAATCGATGGCTTGGATAAATTCATGCTCAGGTCGAAGTTTTACATTTTCTCCAACTTTTTATGTTGGTTAAACTTTTGTATTGTATCTAAAAAACGTATAGTCGAAATTATAAATAGATGTGCATTAGAACAACCGTCACTTTGTCAAGAAATACGGCTTGAAATGAATCATTCAGATCGATTTTTTTAATGACTACAGTCACGTGCATTTATTGTATCATCTTTCAGACAAATGTATTAAATAAAGGAGAGATATGCCAAAGAAAATATTATCGCAATGCGCTGCGCCACCGGCCTCATTTAATTGCCTAACTTGATCTCAAAGAAGCTCTTCGTAATAACAAGAGGTTCATCAGGGCCGTTAATTATCAAGTATTAAGGCTAAGAATACCTACAGATTTTGTCGAGCATTTCAAGGAAAAATAAGAGAACCGCTGGCCAATTATGGCCAAAACTTTAGTGCCTTGCGCAAAGTCCATGAATTTTTTATCCCCACAGGCAATCAATAATTTCGTATCACAAAAGTTCTTGATGCATTTCCTAGCAAGTCAATGTAAGAAAATTGTAACATTACATCCATACTTATGTTTATTGAAGTGGAAATAAATAAAGTTGTTGAGCGTACAAGTATTTTTTCTTAGCATTCAAAATGTCACGGAATTTATCCCAGATATTTCCACGATAAAATTCAAACACTAATTAGCATTGATACATTTCCCTCGTGTTCTGTGAATAAAATTTCAATAAGCATCCTAATTGATGTCTGTAAAATAAATGAACATTATCAATATAACTTTTTCTTCTTTTCGTCATTCTAGTAATTTCCATTTCCAGTGAGAAAATCATTGGGAGACTAGATTTGTGTTTTTTGAATAATTAAAAACGTAATTAAGAATAATTACAAATTTTTGCCACTGAAACAGTAGCCCAAAATACGCCATCAAACGTCGGGTGTAAAAAAGACCTTATCGGCTCGCCACTTCGTCTTTGTATTATTATTGAATGTATTATTATTATTTAATTATTGAAGGAAAGTGCGGCAACACGTTCCTTTGACGAGCTCACGCATGGAAACTAATCGGATGAACAATTGCAAATTCTCTTTGTTGTTTGTTTGCAAAAGCGCCGAGTCGAAGGCACTGTTGAGAGCCGTGCTTAGCCAGTGAATGCTAAAAAATTTATTTGTACCCATTTTTGATGGTTCTTTAGATGTAAATAAGTTGTGTACATTGTTATTAGATTTACAGGGCATTAAACTGCTCAGGTTAAAAATGCTAATCTAAGAACGTCTGCTAAGTTTGGTTAATTATAATAAATATTCGGTAACTATTATTCGAACATGAAAACAATCGCGTATTAGTAACGCAAGTATACCTCTACACCGTAAAATATTTGTTTATTTTTCATGTTCCACAGGAATTTAAAGTTCTATTCTAGAGTTTCTCGTGACCTTGGCTGCTCGATTCCTGATTTAATGGCCCACTTAAAAATAAATTCGATAGAAAGCTAATGATACAATTGATAATCTTCATGAGTTAGAGATTATCTATTAGTAATGCCTATGTTTTACTACACGCAAGCGTTAGTACCTTTTCATTTATTTCTAGTTGTAATTGTTTCTATAAATACTATCGTGGTTTCCATCATTTTACTTGCTTATCAACCTATAAAAGATATCTATACCTTTGGCAGGAAGGGAGGTATATATAGGGTGGATTTGCTCAAGCTATTTCATTTTCCTAAGTTTTTCGTTCAAGTGCATAAATAATATGCTTTCAAGAGATCATCTTTTGAGAAGAAATAAAGCAGTACTATTTTATTTCTAGATGCAACATTTCCTGCAAATAAATTGGGGACTTTCAAAAAAATTTGCAAAAAGATGCCGGGTGAACTCTTACCTAGTCATTGTTAGAGAACTTTTGAAAAAGTACGAGACCAGGCACGCCAATATTCGTTCCTTGCGTCGTCTGAAGCCAAACTTTGGCCAATACAGAGTCGCAGGATATTTTTCCTATCGAAATTATTAACAAAAGAATCACGAATATAAACCCGCTCAAGTTCCACCCTCCACGCAAGTCCTCCAGATCCAGGAATTCTTCTACATCAAAATTTACGATCATACAAGGGAATAAAATGCAATCAAGCGTCCCATGTTCCTACTTTAGTTAAGAAATTTCAAAGAACGCGAATAGAACTGTTCAGACGACGGGCAGCAATTGAGATGATTATTTAACAATCAATTCATTTATTATTTTGCAGGGAGAAGTTCAATAATTCTCAAGGCACAATGCAAATGTCAAATGTTTGCAGCGCATTCATCAGACGACACTGTTTTCCTAATGCCGCATCAAATATTAACTAACAGTTATGTTCTGATAATAAATTATGATAATAAATGTGATGAAATATGAGGCAACGGATACAATGCTTAATCTAATCTGCTTATGGGAATCATTGATGCTGACTCAATACTCGAATTAACTTATAAAGTTAAACTCAGTTATACTCTCAAAGTTATAAAAATTACTCAGAACATGACTTCATATCATCGTTGAGTGGTCTTAGGCTAACATGATAAATTCCACGTTAGGTATCTGCATGCGTCGTTTATATGTACAGGTTTTTTTCATGAGGCTCAGGAGGCCTACTGAGGCAAGCTTCTAATGGAGACCACGCAAAGCTGGCACAAAATGCCTCCACTGAAGGCCTGTCTCAGTCTCGCTAGTCTCTTTGAAGGCCGATATGCACCAGCAAATTCCTACATCATATTCGGCTTGAAGAGTATAGTGAGTGGCCGTACCAAGTCCGCTCCAGCACTAATGCAGTATCAGCGACCTCACATGATGCGATTTTCTAGCAAGGTGAAGATCTCTCACACTTTCTTCAGAATATGTAATGATGGTTCGGGGATGTGTTCAGCTCAACGACGAACAATACCTGACTTTTGGCAGAACTGCTTTACGAGTGATTCATGACTTCAATGTTTTCAAGAATATTTATCTTTCAGTTGAATTACTTCCCGTTAAAATAAGTGCAACTCAGAGAACATCTTGAGCTCATGTGATGCATATTACACCCAGATCGCATTTTAATTTTCCTGCTAAAAAATTATCGTTGGGTCATGCAATATTGAATCGGATTCAAGATTCAGTAAATTGAAAAACCTCTGATCCTTATACAGGCATTCTAAAGGTTGTATACAGTGAAGCAAAAATAATATTAAGAGAGTATACGTGATGATCGGAAGTTTGTTCATCAATACGTGATCAAAATCAGCAGATGAATCAATCGTGGGATTACACTCAACCTTTTTTTATCATCCAGGCATTTATAAACGAATCACGCGCTGTCTTTTTCATACTATGTCGTAGAGCTGAAAATCTTTACTGTACTTTGTGCTTAGTTTTCCGTTCACCGGTAATTCCGTTCCACGTGTACGATTAGCAGGTTCAGCTCTAATCTTAATTATAATTTGCTTCCTTGTTGCGAATAATTGAAAATATAAATAAATTGCTAACTTAAGTAATTTTGAGTATTTTAGAATCAGGCGCCATCAATTCGGATAATACCTGCACGTTTGATTAGCGTTTCGTAGCCATTGAATGTGATTCGAAAACTAAAGTTTTAAAATAATAATGTTTTGTTATCCGAATGACATGAATTAATTACATTATATTTCGTGCGGTACATAAAATTTATTTATGTAACACACATCTATTTCGAAACATTTTAATGGGAACCTGGTAAGTGCAAGTGCTTCCAATAGATAGATCACAATATTTCGGGTTGAAATCTTTCAAATGGTCTTCATCACTGTTTGAAAAATGGTCTCGAGTAATTTTTATACAATGTAAATTAGCTCATTGTATGAATTTATAAAAATCTCGCTTGTCATCTAATCTAAAAGACATTGTAATGCTGAGAGATGGAGAGTAGTAAATGCCCTCCTGGAATTTTGAAGGGTTTAGTTGCGTTATTGATTCATGTATTCGTGTTGATGAAAAGAGATAGAACTCTCGAGTATTAGTCTACCACAAATTGAAGACTCCAAGCAACAGCGAATATCGGGAATTATTCAGAATAATTCGTTTACGAATTAAACTTCTTTGAAAGATGGCGTGGGCGGAATTAGTAACCAGAATCGCAGCTGAGAGGCAATAAGGCTGCATTAGGTTGGCATCAAATGTCAGATGAGGCAAAGAAGTTGAAAAACGACACTCATCCTTGCTGGCAACATCACAATACGCCGTCTAAGTGCAATGGCCTTAACAGCTTCGTTATATAGAGACTGACTGCTGCCTCTATATCAAAAGCTGTGAACGATGTTGACCGTATTCTGACTGCCTGTTTCTTATAGAATAAGCAAGCAGTCAGAATACGATTGTTGTATAACTAATTGCTACGATCATCTACATGTCATTAGTTTCTCCCGAAAATTGACCGGATAGTTCATGAGTCAAAATCGATATTAATGATAAATATTTTAATGCAAATTCTTTTCCCTCATTTTCACTGCATTAGGCAACTATAAACTAATGACCTGTCCTCAATTTTGACGAAGCTAATCATAATCTAACTTTGAATTTCGTGCGCAGGGACTTGCTTTCGTTCGTATGGAGTCATGACGGCGCTGGCGCTGGCTCCCACGCTGCTGCTGTGGCCGCGCGTCTTGGTCGCCTTGTATACCCTCGACGCTCACAGATGAAGTTTCGGCCCCCATTCAACTGCAAATTCAATCGTGAATGATGTAAAAAGTATGAATCATGAGCTATTCGAAAATATATTATTCTGAAAATTTTTTTAATGAACTCAACAGACAAAGTAAAACACAAATATCTTCAATTGTTTTTAAATAAAAAGTGGAGGCAAGGTCATAGCTTGGTGACTTACATAGAAAGTGTTGAAACTGGAATAAAATGAACAACCAGAGAAAGGAAATCATTGAGTGTTCGGAGAAAAAACTTTTTATGCATATTTTGTGTTAAGTCATTGAATTAAAGCACGAGATTTTGAGGTGAAACTTTAAGCGAATGCCAGCAATGACCGCCCTGAGCATTTTAAAATTATAGTTTGCAATATAAATATAAACATAACTACTGCAATTCAATTATACAGAGACCACCGTAACTACGTGTTAACATTATAGTTAATAATGTGAACTAAAGTAAAACGAATTGAAATGCAGTTTAGCAGAGGACTTCAAAGGAAAGTAGTACACGTGGAAAAATGGGTTATTTAGATAAACTGTAACCTTGATCTTATAATAAAAATAATATACGTTTAAAAACTACTTTTTAAAGACAACACTTCCAAAGAATCCAGTATCTCCAATCTTGCAGATGTACAATGAATTTCTCATCTAATTTTCAAAAATTAAAAAATTACATTTTCAATTTTTTGAATATATATAAATTTTTTTTCAAAATTATTTATTCTGTTAATTGATTCGTGCATTGCCTCTGATTTCCCACCAGTGTGCAAAATTTCAGATCAATTGGACAGGTAAAAGTGTGTCATATATCAGTTATAAGATTTGGAGCTGACAAAATTATTTTTTCAATTTTTTTATTATTGAAAAAAAAATTTTTAATTTCTAAAATCATTTATTTTGACATTTGATTCATGCATTGTCTCCAACTTTACACAAGTGGGCAAAATTTCAGATCGATAGGATAAGTAGAAGTGTATTAAATTTTGATTACAATATTTGTAGCAGACAGACAGACAAACAAGAAGTGAAGTTAAAGAGAAGTGTTGTAATAATTACAAGCAATTTTTTAACATGCTTGGCGTTATCAACACCGAGTTCTTGGCTCGGTAAGACAGAAATATTCTCAAGTGAAGAAGATATTGTTTAATTCTTCCTGATTGTTTGGCATGTATAATAATATGAAGAACGACTCAATGAAAGTAAGTGTACGTCTTGTCTACTTTTGTAGTATGGATGTGAAAAGTATTAAAACATGAATTACTTATAAAATATTTCAAAAAAAGATGATTAATCAATTCAAGTTGCTTAAGATAAATCTTATTGCTAAGTTGGATAATGATTCCAAAGCACGACTTTATAAAAACGATTAGCAGTTTTGATGGTTGAATAATAATAAGAATGAAATCAAATTACAGTGCGGACCGAATAGTTTGAAAATGTACTACCCTCTCATTCATTCCTTAATTAATGTCAATCATAATAAAGAACCAATACATAGCACGCAGTACATTTTCAATGCAATTAAGAATGTTACCATCTGCCAAGTTTTCATTGGTCGTGTAAATAAACGTGCTATACGTGCTTATTAATCCGTGTAAATAAATTGATTACTTGTACATATATAAGGCTTGATATAAGTAAGTGTAATAAATCGTCGTTTTGAGCGTACAACGATGTCACATTCCATTGCTAGTGTGAAACGTCCGATGCGTTCTTAATATTAGACTTCCTTATCCCAAAACATCGCAAGGCCAACTTTGATTTTCAGAAAATAAATTTTCATCCAGAAAATCCTTTATGGAATCATAATTGAACTTCAAGGTTTAGTGGCCACTAACTGACTAGCTTTATTTATATTTTCTTTCGCGCTAATGTGATTTAGTAATAAAAGTAATTAATAAATCAATGTAAATCGTTTTCCTGCACTGTAAAGATACTTAAATTATTCAAATTCGCTTGTATGATGTAATATATCCTTAGATTAAAAATATGTGAATTAATAAACTTGAATGGAACGTCGTGTCGTATTTAATTGATCATCATACGATTAATTCTCTCGCAACCTCAATGTAAGAAGATTTATTCATAGTTCTACAAGATTCTGTGTTCAGTTACAGAAAATAAGAAAAATTTTTACTTTAGAGATAATATTGAAACCCGCCTTACTTACACTGCACGGCCACACCTCAAAATTGGTCTTATCTTTACGTACATGGTAAGAGCGCGAAGACGAATGTTGTTATGATTATAAAAGACACTGATAGGCTCATCTTGACAGAGATATTTACACAATGTACCTCAATATAAGAAACAAATTTTCCCATACTGAAGTTCCATGTGAGATGTTTCTGTTGTAGAATATATTTCCAGAAATTCATACCCATAATGTAGACGACAATTCACTTCGAGAGTCCTTCGCAATATAATGGACGAAATTACGACAAGCAGTATTTTGCAAAAAAAATCAAAAGAGCAATGAATTATCGTTCACGCGACGAAAAAAGATTCAACGAGAAGATTTGAAAATCATTGAGGTGCGAGAGTTTTGAATACAACTCACATATGAAGAATAGCAAAGAACACCCATATATGCCTGGAATTATTTTGCTTATTTCGACTACGGCATACCAATATTTAAAAGCTTCATTGAAGCAAATTCTAACCTCATTATTCCTACCACTATTACAATATTTAAGCTAGGTATTTCAAATTCATGTAATGAGAGTAATTTCTCTGTTATAGCTCGTATTCAAATCGATTCCCGCAGGAACATCTTGTTTATTATATTTGTATAAGTAATTATAACGTGTAAGTGAGACAAATTTTAGTCTCATTTTGAATTTAAAAACGATCAGCGCTGCCCACTTTCTCGCGGCATCCAACTTTGTTCTCATCATAAGCACGAGGACGCAAATTCTCATAAAAAACGTTATTCTGCAAATTAATGGACCATAAAGGCTAACGCAGATGCCACGACAAGCGCGAGTATCTTGGAGGTGGTCTGAGCGCATCCTAAGATAAATAAATGAATAGAAATTCGACAACAAAAACATTTACGATTAGGACTCACACGTTTCTATACAAACAGAATTGAGGTTAATTACACCATGAGAATGCCTTCTCACTACGATCGATGTTTAGAAGTTTAGTTCTGGTCGATAGGCTTATATAGTATGTCACTACAGCGCACTTAATTGCGGCTGTCTGTATTCATCCGCAAATATAGTCATTTCTCGACGAAAATTTGTATATTCTAATGTAAAACCGCTTTCTAAAATACAGACTTTTATAAAACGAACAAGCCTCACATAATAATTAACAGAACCTATTTATACTTAATTCAGGTATTTAATTTCACAACACACTGCAAAGCAATCGTTTAATAGAGTAATGATGTAAACACGCCTGCAATTTGTTAACTCCTGGTCTATACGGATCATATTTATTTTCCTGTTTTTTTTCTTCCTGCTTAAAGAACACGAGCTAGTCACCGCCATGAGACTGAATGTTAAATGACATATCGATATATTTTAGTCGAAAATTATTCAAAAGTCATAACCTGGAATATCAATTGTCTCCCAAGTAATATAGATATTTGAAGTATGTCCATCAAAACTAGAGCTTAAATATAGTGTGTAGCCATAAAGTTTTATCCAAGTACTTGATGGTCCTATCCTATAATTCTTGAATTGGATTCCTAAAGCTCGAACTATGATCACGATTACATCAAACTTTCCAGCATCAAAATTTTTGCTGCACTGCAACCACGTCTTTCACATGGCTGAACCCAAACTAAATTCCAACTGAAAGATTACGATCGTCGCACAACTAAAGATTATGGTTGATCAATGAGCATTGTGAAGTGGTTATATTGCACGGTATCCTAGAAACTAGACATACCATTGAGCTATTGTGGCCTCGGTGAGTCAAAAATTGAAATAATTTAAACGGACCGATCTGGGGTTTTTCATTTGTTTTGTTTACGTTTTGTTTGGCATAAACGTAATTGAATCACTAGCATTGTCCTGCGCAGGGAAAACGTCACATGCAATTCGCATCCGGCAAATGTGTGAAGCTGAGATACACAAGAAAATCATATACAAACTTTATTAAAGTAATTTTAATCAAAATATGCATTAAAACTCACCGGACAATCAGTGCAAATTGCAAATCGTTTGTAATCCAGCATCAAAGTCCTTCCGTACTTGAAACAAATTGAAAAAGTGACCGTTTTTGAAAAAACGGTTACTTTTTAGATATGAGGGAAATTTCATCTAAATATATATGATTCATAAACACCAAACGATTCCCCACATTGTTTCTTCAAAAATATATAACGGCAAGAGGCTTGCCCAGGAGCGTCGAATTTCTTGCCTCCTCCTCTGAACAATGTTATCAATAACGTCAATTAATACGTGATCCAAAGCCGAAGAGCCTCTTTCACTCCACGCTGCCTCCCTGCCACTTTCTACGACGACACCGCTCGTGTCGGAGCCTTGCATCTGATATCAGAAAAGAATATAGCAACGCGTTATTTTAAGAGATCTTATAAAGAATATTTCCTGAAGTATACGAACAAAATACCATGGTATGAATTCATTTGGTTGAAAGTGCAAGACCAAAACTAAATTCCATGTAATGTTAGAAATTAAGAACACCATTCAGTATCTCAAAACCGTAATATTTTCTAAAATTTAAATTTTCCTGATGTTTCGAGCGAAGCCGAAGAATGGCCGTTTACAGCAGCACGAACGCCGATCTGATGTATGTAAATCGGGCGGCTACAGGTGCGCCTTATGGTTGTTTCCTCGACGAAGAAAAAGAGGGGAGCAGGGGTGAGGAAAAAATATCGAACATGACGGAGTAGTGCTGACGAACGAGCAGCTTCAAGGCTCCGAAAAATTTCCCCCTTTTTTGCAGTGGTAACCTGCGAGCAACAACTTCTGTGGAAACCTTTCACTATATTACAGCTACAATGACAAAGCGCATCTCAAAACTAATAAATTATACGATTTAAGAACACACGATTGGATAGATGTAAAGTCGATATTTCAGTCGATGGCATGTTATTCAATAAATTTCAAACATTGAATGCTAGTTTGAACTGTATTCATTGAAACTCCAATGCCTCGAACAATCGGACCTCGACCTCGAAAATGACATTGAATGGAGCGCAGTAATTTTAATTGATTTTATTTAAGTATGCTGTATGCATTTCGAAACGAGATTCGCGGCTTGATTTTACTTTAATCAATATTTGAACGTTTGTTGGTCAAATTTTCATCGAGTGTTAGTCATGCATAATTTAAAAAGCTGCAACTTTCAAATTTATTAATCATCTTCATGTTAATTCAAAACTAATAGAGCGTCGATAAGAGATTCGATCTTAATATTTAATTAATATCGAATGTGTGTACAAATCGACGCCTGGAGACAGTATCCGGTGCCATATGGGCATGTCTTGTACAGGAACGAAGAAAGAAAGCTAGGTATCAGAATGGCTTGAAAATGCTTACCGGCGCTAATTTCATATTATGGAGTATATAAAGGGGATGCCAAACATCTGCAGCACTTTGCAA